TCATGATCCTTTGAGGATTATCCAATCCAAAAGCACCAAATAGAAACTTTTTGCACACCTCAGTTACCTCTATTAACACACATTCTCAGTATGACTTCAGAAGCATCATCTAATTGTCTAAATGGCTTTACTGTTGTCTCAACAACATCAGTATCACCTTCAGTACTGTTTAATGACTTCCCTTGACACGAAGTTGAAGGAATACTAACATGTCATCAAAAGTAATTTCCCTATCTTTAACGAAAATTTTCCTCTAAACAAAACAATCCTTTTAAAAGCTTATTTTTCAACCTGGAATAATCTTCTTTAATGAAAAAGTAAAACTAATCATTAACATCAGTGGGATATCAGATGTCCAAAAAAAAAAAAAAAAAAAAAAATGTTATTAGGTACAAAGTTCTAATACCAAGAACAACTCAAAATTTTAGGATAAATTTTCCTGACCAAATATTTCTAGCATCATTTGCTATAGTTATTTAAGTGCCAAGAAGACTGTAGTCATGTCCCCAGGTGACCTCACGCCTTAGGCCTTGGCAGCTTCTCAGAAAGGCCTGAATCTGTATCAACAAGAAAGAAGACAGATCTTTTACCCTTTCCACTCTACTCTCCACCAATGCGTAAGGGGCCAGACTGGCTTGCCAGTCGTCCAGGAGGCTGCACTACACGAGCAGTCCCTTACTACTAATAATCCTTTTTAAAAATCAAGTAATTTTAATAGGTTTCCACCTTTGTTGTAAAGCTAGTACTAATACATGTCTACTCTGAAAATGTAATAATACAAATATGTAAAAAATACAGGAAAGAAAAATACAGGACTCAGGCTTTTCCGTCATTTTTTCTTCTTCATTCTTTGGAGGCTAGAAGCTTAGATTCTTGAGGCTTTCCTTTACCTGGTGTTTTAGCCTGGCCAGGCCATACCCAAACAGAGAAGAGCTGAAGGTGAAGGCAACCACACACAGGGTAACCTTTAAATCACCAACCTGAGAAGCCACTATCATTTTGTATTCACTTATTTTTGATAGTGACTAACAAACAGGAACCTTATTTGGACTCCTTTCTGCTTTCCCCTCATGGCCTCAGTTATCTGGTCTTAAAAGACACAGTGACTTTGAAGATCCTTTTGCAAAGTACATGGCACCTAATTTCCTAACCAAAATAAAGAATAAATGAATTAATGAATGAATCCAGTTGTACCAAAATGCACCTTCAAAAATCCAGAGAGAGAACAGCATCGCTGCAATAAACACGTCTATTCCTACTTCCATCAGATCCAGCCCAGCTTCGCTAATGGTGAAGGGACAATCCTAGGCAAAGTTCACAGTTGACGTTCTATAGGCATCTTTACCTCCTCCATCTATCTTTAAGCCCTACTGTGCGCGCGAGCAACACTCAAACACAAAATGGAAAGCTATGAACATTAGGGCGATGGAGAGGATACGAAATTTTGGAGTTATAGTTCCAGGGTTCCAATCCTGGCTCCATCAATTCCTAAACTAAGATGAACCTGGGCATATCTAAAGTCTCTGATCTTTAGTTTTCTCACTCATAGAATGGGGAGTATAGCGTACCGATTAACAAGATTATTCTGAGGATTAAAATTTTAAAATATCTGTAAGGCAGTTATACTCTTGTTAATAATTGGAGCTGAATAAAGGGAAAGTGTTTCCTCTTCAGATTCACGATGAGGTGCAAGCCTGGCCTTCTTTCGACTTACAAGCATGGAGGGTGGTAACTTGCTCTGTTTTGCTTAGGAAAACAAAAACAAAAACAAAAAAACAGACGATGCTCTGCACATACACTCAATTTCACTTGTATAAAGAATATCCAGTATCGGGGCGCCTGGGTGGCGCAGTCGGTTAAGCGTCCGACTTCAGCCAGGTCACGATCTCGCGGTCCGTGAGTTCGAGCCCCGCGTCGGGCTCTGGGCTGATGGCTCAGAGCCTGGAGCCTGTTTCCGATTCTGTGTCTCCCTCTCTTTCTGCCCCTCCCCCGTTCATGCTCTGTCTCTCTCTGTCCCAAAAATAAATAAACGTTGAAAAAAAATTAAAAAAAAAAAAAAAAAAAAAAAAAAAAAAAAAAGAATATCCAGTATCAACTTCATTAAAAAAAGAGGGTTCCACTATACTGACTAGGTTTCTATGTCCCAAACTGAAGATACCAACTTCTTCCCATATTTAATTCTAAATCAGATGATTACATTTTATTAGTCAATTAAGATAAAATAATCGGAAATGTAGTAAATCTGAATAACGATAAAAAAAGAACACTTTGGCAGTATGAGTCCTAAATATTACTTGCATTTGTTCATCCTATTTGAGGACAAAGTTATCAGTTAAATAGCTTCACCTTCGTCTTGGCTCAGATTTAGAGGACTTTAATAATTCCCTTCTCTGATGCATATGCTAAGGTTTCCTTTACCTCACACACTCTAAAATATCAGTCATCCCCTTCAACCTAATGTCCAAACCTAAGTTTTCATTCCTTCTCTCACACCAATTTGGTGCCTTTCTTGCCAATCCAAAAAAATCCCAAAGCAAGAAAACTCCAGCAACCAGATGAAAAGCAACAAAAGTCCGTAATTATACACCCAAGATGCCGAAATTTATAAGATACTGCAACAGATGCTAAATATGAAGATCATTTTGTTATAATTTAATTCCGCTAACCTGATCACTAGGTTATTTCTGTAGTGCCCACATGCTGAGTACAAACTTGCCAACTCAATTTTACTATTTTTTCTTAATCTAAATAGACACAGGGTCAAGGTGGAGAGCATTGGGAGCTCTTTTCCTTATAATCACTCCATGGTTCAATTCAAGGTTTGGTTAGCCTTCCTCTTTTCAAAATAGTTCTCTGGGGGTCACATGTGTATAAAACTGCATTTTCCACCAAAAGGAAAGCTATTTTTTGAACAAGCTAATGCACCACAGAAATACTTAGGGAACATCATGTAGCCCCCCCGCCTGAAATTATGGATTCTTTTATTTTATGACATCAGGGATTTAGCCAGATGATCTTTATTAAATATGCCACAGTTCACTTTGTTTCTCCCCTTCAGTAGGGGCAAATCCCCTATTTTTTATTTTGTACTTACAAATTAACCCAATAAAAGAAACCACCTCTAACCTGTATACTAATACATCATTTGCAAATCCATGTAATAGCTACCATTAACCACCCGCCAGAAAAACAATAACCTTACCTTTTTTCATTTCCGTATGACTTCTGTGCAACTTTTGCATGAAGAATAAGTACTGTTTGATCCCCTCGCTCCTTTAAGTAATTTCGCATAGCTTCCCTAAAGTAAAATATAAATATTACTATTACGGGGGTGAAATTTAGAATATTACTATGCTGTATGATAAAAAAAATAATTAAAAGTATTTTTATTTTCTAAAAATGAAAACAAAAAAGCAAAACCAACCCAAGAATTAAATTTAAATATTATATAAATACTGTTCATCTTCAACTCTGTATTTTATTCTTTAAAAGAAGAAACTGTTGCCTTGGAATTTATGCTGTAACTCAAATCACAATTACAACTTCTATAAAATGATTCTAGTTAGAATCATTATACACACTCCTGATTTACCTTTTAATTGTTTGTAAAATTAATGGTATGCAACACTTTTGTACTTAACAATCTAATTACCCACCACCACCAGCGCCACTCCCCCAGCTATTAGAATCAGTATCTTCCAATGAATACAAAGCCATAACTTTTTCACATTAGGTCATTATTACATGTTCTTAAAAAAACAGCCTTACATAAAGACTACGCAAGCTGTGAGCTCATGACCTGAGCCCAAGTCGGATGCTTGACTGACTGAGCCACCCAGGCGCCCCTAGAACTTGTAGCACTTAGAAAGTAAGTGGCTTGGGGCAAACATTTAACCTCACCCAGTCAGATAATAATGCAGACCTAACACAGAGCAGTTGTGGGCATTAAATGAGATAATCCAGATGGCAGCATTTGTGGTTACTGACTGAAAACCTGTTGGATGCAAGGCAGGGCAGCTAACGCTGGGATCCAATAGCTTGAGAATTAATCCCTATCACTGAAGGGACTTCACCAGGGACTTCACTGAAGTCGAGTGAAGACAAGACTTTGGAAAACAAATTGTAATAAAATACACGACTCAGAGGTATGAACAAAAGTACCACTAAAGGAATGTTTATGTAAAGTTAGGGGTGATAAAGAACTATAAACTCTTGAACAACGTGGGGGTTGGGTGCCAGCACCCTGCACAGTCACAAATCTGCATATAATTTTTGACTCCCCCCCCCCCCCCCCACCAATAGCTGACTGTTGACCAGAAGCCTGATAACCATAATTGATTAACATATATTCTGTATGCCATATATATTATACACTGTATTCTTCTAATACAGTAAATTAAAGGAAATGTTAAGAAAAATCATGTAAGGAAAATCCATTTACAGTACTATACTGCATTTATCAAAAAAAATCTGCATATAAGTGGATCCATGCAGTTCAAATCCATGTTGTTCAAGGGTTAACTGTACATGCTAGGAAAAATTTCTTAGAAGAGTTAAATTCCAAAGGAAGAGGGGTAGACACAGGAAGTGGAAGGAGGAAAGAACAGGGCATTCCAGAGTCTGGAGAAGTATGTACAAAGACAAAAAAGATCCGGCACATCTGGGTACACTGAGATTCAGGCTGAGGAATCAGGCAGACACAATAACAAAACAGCAGCTAACATTTCTTGATTACTACGTGACAGACCCTGAACCAATCTCTTTATATGCACTGTTTCATTTAATCCTCACAATTCAAAAAGGTAAAAGTATTGTTCCTACCACTTTGAATGTCTTGCCCAATGTGTTGCAGTTAATGGCAGCCAGGAACTGAAACAATTCTTTGAGTCTGAAGTGAGCCACTGAAGGGAATAAAGCTGATAAACTGGGTACAGTAAAACTGTGAGAGGCTTGTCAAACGCCTTGAAAATCTGACATTTGTAAATGTATATACAAAGTATGAAAGCTTAAGTTAATTCAAATATTATTCTATGCTAGATGATGATAAAAGCGGTAGCAATTATTACAAATTTTTTAAGAGACCTGGATAAAAAGTTAAATGTAACAAAATAAAAAATAAAATCCATCTCTTAAAACACTGTGCTATAGAATCTGGATTTTCAATCTAGACAAAAGGCAATGGGAGATCTTAAGGGTTTTTTTAAACGTACAATTATTTTTCCATTTCAGTTAATTTTTTGTGGTGGAATAGGGAAAGGATTAGAAAGTATTGAGACAAAACTTGAAAAAAGGTTGACATATTAAACAAGAAGTAACAAGATAGTAGGAGGGGAGGTGGAAAAGACTTGATAATTTTTTAGATCTTTTGTTTTGGGAGCAGTAAGTGTATATTAACAGACTCTGTTTGACAAATGTGAATTCTGAGGCATCCCGGACCTCCAAACTCTAAGTATTCAAAAGGCTGTTGGAAATACTCATCTGTAGTTCCGGAAAGGGGTCTGGGGGCAAAAATAGGGTTTGCTGGTGTGTAGTTCACACACAAAACCACAGCAGTGAATGCAATCTCGGAAAGAAAGCATAGTGACAGGAGAGTCAAGAAGAAAATGTATAAAAGGAAATGGAGAAGAACCAGTAAGAGAGAGAACTAAGGCTGTGCATTAGATGCTATTGAAGGAGACAAACCTTGAAGAGGTAACTATCAAAGGGTGAGATGCTGCAGAGGTCAAGGTCATTTTAATTTTAGCAAGAAGTCTAACAAATGCCAAGTAACAGAAAGGCTTATAAATTATTTGTAAAATGAGAAGCCACTGTAATGTCTAATGGGTAAGAAAGGAGCCATAAATATTGGCAACACCTTCAAAGGAATGGACAATAAAATGACCAAAGATCAGTATCAAAGGAATAGCTAATTGTGGAATCCATAAGTGATCGTGCCAAATCCTACTAGCATTTCAAGGGTGGGAATACAGAAAGCATAATCTCAAAACTGCTGGGTAATGGATAAGGGGTACAGTCTGGAAAGGATAACAATAAGGTTTCTGAGTGGTTGCTAAGTCAGACGCCTGATCATAGAGTTCAGGGTACGTAAGAAACCAAGAACAAAGTCAGAAGGCCAGTCAGTATCTTGACAAAGCTAGCGGAGAAGTCCAGTTCTTAGCATTGAACATGAAAAAGTGATATATACTTGAAAAGAAAAATTTTAAGTAGCAATTTTAAGTATACTTACTCCTAACACATTATATTTGCATTTATAGTGACAAGCTATACGATGACAAGCATTATATCATTAACCATTATATCATTATAATATCTCTATTGTATCAGTCAGCAGTTACTTCCTATGTTAGTCAGATTCCACGTCTTTTTTTTTTGTCTTCCCAGACTACAAAGTCCCTGAGACATACTAGTAAGCATATTTTAGAAATGGGGGAGAGGTTAAATAACTTTCGCAAGATGATAAATACCCAGGATTCAAACTTAGGTAGTGCAACTCTCAAGGACAAAATTATACTATCAGATACTTTGCAATCTCTTTGCTGTGACACACACACACACACACACACACACACACACACACACACACACACACACACACGCAGGTCTGAATGTTAACTCTTGTCACCAAGCCTGAGTTTTCTCACCCATAAAACATATGTGTAGATACACGTTTAAAGTTAGCCCCACAAAAGGACATCTACGAAATGTCCGTAAACTCTTCCCATTATTATTGTTGTTGCTATTATTATTATTATTATTTTCTTAGAAAGGAGAGGGGCAGGAGGGCAAGGCATGGCACCACTTCCACTGGAGCTATAGAGCAAACTTGAAAAGGGCCTAGAGGTAAATGTTCAGGCGTATCACCTGACTTGGCACGACAGGTAAGCTGCACATTTACCCATCTTCCCATTCAGGATTTATTGAGAGCCTATTACATCCTGGGCATTGGTCATCATGCTAGTTGCCTATGTTGGAAGTAGCTGTGTACAATTATGATTATGACAAAAGATTTCAGCTCTCAAGCTGTTTATGGTCATTGCAGATGACAGCTCCAGTTTTCATCCTTTCCCTTTCTTAAAACAGCAACTAGAACCTTAAGATAATCAATTAATAGTTGCCTTATAACTAATTGGCCATATAGCTTCTTTCAAAAAGGAAAAAAAAGATCTGTTTTCTTATTAGAACATCGAACACATTAAAAATTATGTTCTCTGGTAATTAAAGCCTGATCATTTCCTCCAGCATCTTAAGTAGCCATAACCAACAATCAAAGATATATTCTGAAGAAACACAATTAAATAATAAAGCCCACAGAATGCAGCCCATGTGCCTTTCATCCAGACAGAGTAGGGTTTCACCAACAGAATGGGGTTTCAATTTCAGTATTATTGACATCCTGGGCAAAATAATCCTTTGCTGTGAGGGACTATCCTGTGCACTGTAGGGTGTTCAGCAACACTTCTATCTACGTATTTGAAGCCCGTAGCACCCTTTCTCAAACTATGACAACCAACACCGTCTCTAGATAATGGTAAATGTGAAGGGAGTTGAAGGACAAAGTCACCTGGGTTGAAAACCAGTGGGTTAGAGAAAAGCCAAAAGTATTCCAACAAGATGGCAAAATCATCCATTGTCTTTTTTAAAAGAATAAGGGAAATTTTAGCATTGGAAAGCATAATGTAGGTATCGTAAGAATCTTACTAGAATTACTACTTTGTATTAGTGAATTCTGAAAAAGAATGACAAAGTTAAATCCCAGTTTCTTGGAATAGTTACTATTCTAACAAGTCTGAAGTATATTCTTTGTTAATTTCATTTAACGATTCCTTAGAACGTAAAAATTATTTGATGGGGCATCTAGGTGGCTCAGTTGGTTAAGCATCAGACTCAGGATTTCCGCTCAGGTCATGATCTCATGGTTCCCCCTCCCAAATAGACAAAGGCCACCATATTGTAAGGATTGGGTCATCATCACTTCTGTATTCTATGAAGTTTATTTTGGAAATAAACCATTTCACTACTTCTTTAAGGCTTTACCCGTGTAGAGAAAAATCGGAGACTTGAGGATTTTGAGAACATGTAACAGTAGGGAGTGCTGACATTCAAAGGTTAAGTCATCACCTCGGTTCTTACATATCTAGGCCTGGTTGATCCAAACTTGGCTCCTCGAATCCCAAGGACCACGCAGACCCTTCCTATTCCAGCTCATTTTCTTCTTCCCCCAAAATGTCCTATAAACATATGACTGGCCTAAGGTGAATATTAGTTGCAACCATTTTTATATGAATTATTTACCACTTA